AAGTCACGCCAGAAATAGTGGATAAATTCAAATATTTGGGCGTATGGATAAATAACGGGGCTGGGTACCTAAGGGAGCACGAAAGATACGTAATGACTAAGGGCACCAGGATTGCAGCTGTAATAAAAAATAGAGAACTGTGAAACTACAACAGGTATGATGTTGTGAGAGGGATTTGGATAGGTGCCATGGTCCCGGGTTTGACGTTCGGCAACGCAGTCTTGTGAATGAAATCAGAAGTTTAAGCCAGACTGTAATTAAACAATGTGGCATAGGTAGACTTGCTTTGGGAGCACACGGGAATACCCCAAATCAGGAGATACAGGGTGGCATTGACTGGACATCGTTTCAGTGTAGGAAAGCTAGCGGCAAAATAGAAATTTAGGAGCGGTTGAAAAAATAGGAGAGGAGCGTTGGCCTAGGAAAGTTTTCAGCTACTTCTACATGAAGAATGTTGATACTAAATTGAGGAACCGAACTTGAAAACTGTCAAGCAAATATTCAGACAACAGCAGAATACCAAGCCAAAAGAAAACATCGGTTAAGAAGGTAAAGGAAACAGAGAGGGACATGTGGAAAGTGGGAATGCTTACGAAATTCTCACTGGAGACTTACCGAACTTTTAAGCAGGAAATTTCAAGGGAAATGAGCTACGATGATTCTCAGGGTAGTTCTCAGCTCTTCGAGGCTAAAACGGGAGTATTGCGAACCAAGACGTACCGAGCAGAATACGAAGGCACAGACACGGTATAGAGTTCATGTCGAGAGGAGGAGGAAATGGCTGAACATTTGATAATGTTCTGTTAAGGGCTCCACCCTATAGTCGAAGATATTGACGCCAAATTTTTTAAAGCGTTGGTGTTTAGGGACAGTGAAGGCAAAATAGACTCTAAACTGGTAGAAATAATTAGGAGAAGGATAACTGATTGGTAGCGACAATTGAGGTGCGAGCGAAATTACATCCTTAAACACACAGTGATAGTACATTATGGCTAGGTGGCGTGAGCCTCCACCCGATCTAAAGGGCACAGCCGGATACATCCATCCATCCATCCATGCGCGCGCGATCACACTGAAAAAGCCGCGAATTTAAAGAAAAAAAGTGCTCAAGGTCACGAGTCACGGTAGTTTCTTTGCCCTGCCACCCCTCCCTGCTTAGTTTCCAGTGCTTTCGACGGGACGAGAGAAGAGATAATGCAATTGCAGCATGCGACAAACCTTTGTAGCTCCACTCGCACTGGACGGATTCTTAAAATTTTTGCGGCTCTGAATTCGTGAGGCAATAAGCTCTTCTAGTTAATTCATTTTATAGTTACTTGAAAAAGTGTTTCAGGACCTCTTTAAAGCAATTTGTTTGACAGGTGTCATGACATTTTCTGGACACTTTTTTGGTACTCACACCTCTTCCGCTCTTCCGCTCTGTCCTTATTAATATTATTTCTGTATAAAACGCTCATCAGGAGTAAAATGGATTATGCATCACCCATCTTGAACCCGCACTCAGTAACCCATATTCAATCGCTTGAGGTAATTCAAAGGGATGCCGCGCGTTTCATATGTATAGCATTACAACCGAACATCAAATCTAACTTCCATGAAAAACTCCATCCTCCCCTCTCATCGCGACGTTTTTTCACCTTGCTTTATTTACTAAGTCGTAATTTACAATTCCTACCTGCGTAATAGGTTTATATCATCCCCTTTTTACATTTCTTCTTACATTGATCTTCTTCATAAGATTGTAATAATGCACTGCCCTATCACATGCTCTCAAAACTTATTCCTTCCCAAAACCTCTCAAGAATAAAGCAACCGTCGCGCCACAGTTGCTTCATTCCCTCAAATTGGAATGAATCTGCTGAATCCATTTCCAACATCGGACAGCGGCAACAAATGGGTAATGGTGGTGACGGACCACTTCATCCGGTACGTGGAGACCAAGGCTTTTCCGAGTGGCACAGCAGCTGAAGCAGCCAGGTTCTTCATTGATAAGGTTGTGCTGAGACATGGTGCTCCAGCAGTCGCCATAACAGACAAAACTATCACATTTAAAGCCAAAATTTTGTGCACTGTGCTTACGCTCAGTGTTACAGCGCATAGGAAAACGACAGCTTACCTCCCACAAACAAATGGGCTTACGAAACGACTCAAAACGACAATCACTGACATGCTTTCCATGTACGTCAACGTGGAACACAAGGATTGGGACTGAACCTTGCCGTACATCACATTCGCGTATAATATGGCACGCCATACAACCACGAAAATGACGCCGTTCAAACTAATTCACGGCGTAGAAGTGACTAGGATGCTTGACGCTATGCTCCCTCATAACTGGGATGATTCAGAGACAGATGCGTAGCTTTCACTGAGCACGCCGAGGACGCAAGGCAGCTAGCCCGCGTCAGAATAATCAACCAGCAACAACTTAACGCTCGACGGTACAATCTTAGCCATCGATTTGTCACTTATAACTGAAGTAAAATAGTCTGGGTTTCATTCCCTGTAAGATGGTGAGGCCTGTGGAAGAAACTCCTACGCCGATACTTTAGATCCTACAAGGCTTTGCGCAGTCTTAGCCGAATGACGTACGAAGCCATGGCCGACGCCTACTCTTGTTAAAAACGGAGTCAGCATCTGCCTGGAACTCTGCACGTGGTCCGCATGAAACCGTACAATTCTCAGTCATGTAAGCATTCGTTATAGCTCACTTACGCATCGCTACTAGGCGGGTATCTAGAATGCTACATGGTGAGCATCGAGACGAGTCATTCGGGCGAGAGGTTAATGCCACGTCCGCAGCTGGGCCTACCTGCCCGCCAGCGACGACACTGAAAGTCACTAATTTACTCGAGAGGCGCAGTGCGAGCGAATGAAGATGTCGACAATCTTGACGGCCCTTTTTTCATAACGTCTCTACGAGTACGACACCCCCTGTGTTCCTAAACAAGGCCCCTGTTTTTATACCATGTGATGCTATCCAGGACCACTCCAGGCTATCGAAGTTTCGCTTGAACATTTCGGACATTATTACTCCCGGACTTAATTGACCAAATATTCTTTGTGTAAACTAACCACCTTAGTTTACTTTTTGTTTTACTTTCTTATGCATTGGCATCCACTCCCATCTGTAATACTAAGGTCTTGAGGGTAAAATGAAATGAAATCCTTCCACCACTCGTTCGGAAAGAACTGGGCGCCAACCTATCTGAATAGGGACATAAGTGACTCTCCATACATACTTCTGCTTCCGAAATAGATGTTTCATATGCTGGTCTTTTTTTATACGAAGAGGGTGACCGGTGTGACAACACAGTTTTATTTTTACTAGCAATGGTTTCGCCACCAAAGTCTCGCAATCGCGAGCGTCCCTGGTATGCTGCCGGAGGGCACGGCTAACATTAACTTCTCGAGTTACACCTGGACTCAAGAGAGAACAGAACACGCTTCCGAGGGATGGGACGCTCTCGTAGAGCCTCGTACCACTTCGTCATGCATACTTAATAATGATGAGTTGGCCAGTTTATTGTAGTCCGGAAGATCATTCCTCTACGCTTCTTTAGGGCCGTTTTCCTGAGATTGTTGACGCAGTGGCGCGGGCGGAATTGGCGGGTATCGGCGGTGACCGCAAGCATCGCTTCAGTTCTTGGAATGCTTCCACATATGGTGTTTTTCACTTGAACTCGAAGTCCGATTCTGTAAGATTAGCTAGTGGCTCGGCGACACGGTAAATCTATCAAATGTTTCGAGAACAGTTCAAATTCCTGATTGTTTGTGCGACGAGGAGCGAAAAATATTCGACCTGTCGCTTCAAACAAGGATAGGTATATTATAACATAGGAAAAAATCTAAACAATAAAGCAGTAAAGTGGAGGATGGAAGGCTGAAACGATGCCAAATGTATTAGGCACAACAATTGTTCGGGCCTTTGTTTCAGAATTATGCTGTGGTTTCTTAGCAGGGGAACGGGGGGCTTTAGAAATTTCGACCATCTGCAATGTTCTTTCTTTAACGTGCACTGACATGACACAGCACACGGGTCTTTAGCATGTCACCGCCACCGAGATGCGACCGCCGAGGCTGGAATCAAACCCGTGACCTTCCGATCATCGGGCGAGTACAATAACCGGAACACCACCGCGGCGGATGAATTAGATGTTTAAGTACTATGACACAAAATAATAAGTTGATTACGCTGTCTGTGCGATGGTCAATAGCATTGTTTCACCTTTTGACTGCAATGTAAAATGAAACAGATTACTGCCTGGCTATAAGAGTGGAACGCCTTACCCAGCAGGCTCACTGAAACAGAAAATAAAACAGTATAGTGTAGACCGGAACGTGAGGTGAAGTACCGCTTTTGTTGTGGTTTGAGCGGACACTGTTACCTTTATATTTTTTTTCTCGTGAAGAGTGCGCGTAGAGCATTTTCCGTGCGCTGACATTGACCGCGTCCTCAGCACAGCGTGTAGGTTCTCGGAGGCATAATGATGCGGTCCCGCCACGACGCTCACTTGGTCACTTTTGAATACTCGCCATCGCCGCCTGGCCGAAATCGCATTTTTCTTTCTTCTTGTCTGGGGTGCGCAATGATCCGGGTGCAAAGGATGCTCAAGGGTGGGGGGGGGGGGGGGGGGAGTCAATTCGCCTCTCGTGTCACGGCGTCGGTCGACGACTCCGGCAGAACGCCCGTGGTCTGTCGGCTTTGCTGACTGTGCGGTCACGTCATCGAACCCAAGGGGGGCTACGAGATAACCGACTCCTTACGTAGTAACGAGAAGGGCGAGTCGAACAAAAATACAAGAGTGTGTGACCGACGATAGGGAAAGCGTCGGTCGAGGTGTCCATCCGGTTTTCGCGGTTGCTGCCTCCTCCTCCCCCTCGCTCTTCTTTACTTTCTTCGGTGTCAAGGAGCATCACTCGCCGCGGGTGCCGGCGCTATGGTAGAGTCAATAGCGTGCCACAGTGACACCACAACATCGGCGAGGATGTGGCGGATGATGGCGCACCTGCTGACGCTGCTCCTGCTGCTCATGCCGCCGGCCGGCTGGGCGCAGGTCTGGAATTCATCCATGAACAGGGGCTTCGCGATCGGCACAAACCACTGTGAGTCTGCCAGTGAGGCCATTTCTTGTTTGTCTGTAAATAGCATTCATACGTTAAAAAAACGAAATGTCTTTGGAATTCAAAAGATAACTGAGAGCAGGAATGACGAAACTCTCTGTGACGTAGTAACCGTTGATATTTACAGACGTAAATGGCTACGCTGCTCCGAGAAAACATCATATCACAGCACCAGAAAAGCGCAATTGTAAAATATATAGATGCTAATTGCTGTATTCTTGACATTGAAAACTGCGCTAAAGCCAGAGGACACAATATAGAGAGGCACTCACAACAAGGTTTATACGTCACAACTTCTACAGCCTACGTTAGAAAAAAGGAACAACGAAAATGATATGGCAATGTTAAATGACAGCCCCATCAACATTATTACTGTACAGCGTGCCCAAGAAAGAACGTTTGGCTTGAGAACTGCCAAACGTCCACTAAAGTCCGCTAATGCAATAATAGGCCTGATAACGAACACGCTGTCTAGCGTAGCCACTCTTAAAGCCTCACACACTTTGCGTACAAGCTAGCCTTTATAACGTTTGACTACAGCACAACCCTGGAAGCCGGAAAGGGACGGAGAGGAACCCTTCTTCACGTGCATTTCCTGCTGTTCTGATTTCTAGTACGTCGTATCGATTCGCCTAAGCATCCACTATAGCGTTCATTTTTCCCGCCGAAGTACTTTAGGAACTCTTAGTAATATAGACTTCAGCGTCAAGTGGTCAGGGTGTAGTAGCCTTTTGCTAAACAATCAATCTTCAAAAAAAAGGTAATTTCCTTCACAATTCAGCAATTCTCAGCGAAAATATACACCAAAGCGAACTGAGACACAAATCAATGTTTCATCGCGCGCAGTTGTGGACGTCATTGGGACGTCATTCACTCAATTTAAATTGGAAAGCTGAGTGAGAATGAATTCTTTACCCAAATCAGAAATGATGACTTCTGCTAAAACCAGCAATGACTGATTTTATACAGAAATAGCACCCAATTTCGAAAGCACAACTGTAGATTTTGACATAAAGATATTATTACTGCTAGACGAAACAATCCATGTATACATGCAATCGCTGAATCACTATGAAATAACGGTAAACTATCCAAAAGTTGTCTATTTTCTTTGTGATGTGCAGCGATAGCTGCCAGGTCTACATCGGTTAGCTACATTGGTCTGAGTGACACTTTCCTTTCGGTTGTTTCTAATAACGCCGTTCAGTCATAACAATCGGTGGGCCAAGTTTAATAAGCGCGCACTGAAGGCAACCCTTACGCGACAACACACTCAATTGGCACCGTGCTTGAACATCTTCCTTCTAGTTCCTATTCGGATTGCATCTTTCTGTGTTCCTTCAACACTATTTTGTTTAAGAAGAGAGTTGTAGCCACGAGTAACGGCATCCTCTAGGCCCAGAAAAACGAGCTAATTCGAATTCTTGTAGTTGTTGTCATCTCAGACAACGCAGTTGGAGGCTTTGTTGGAGCTTAATGTCTAATAATAACGTAATAATTGTTAGCTTCAGCGTACCAAAACCACGTTATGAGAGACGCTGTAGTGAAGGCCTCCAGAAATTTCGACCTCTGGAGGTTCTTTAACATGCACCTAAATGAATGTACACGAGCCTCTACTGAAAACGTGGTGCCGGGGTTCGATCTCGCGAAACCTGGCGACCGTGGAAGGTCAAGTGTTGAATTTACAAAACAGAAGCGGACATGCTGGCTTCAAAAAGAAATAAAAGCGGGGTCACATTTTTGCACGCAGGAGAGAGGATGTGACACGACATCCTGCAACGCACAACCGGCCCATATGTGTGCAAAAAGAACTGATCAAAATTTGTTGACGTCAGCGTTTTACAGGCTGAAGGAGGAACCCATTTTCAGGTGCAGCCTCTTGCCTCTTGTAGCACACTCCCTCGCCTCGTCCACTGCGCGCAGTACGAATAATTCCGTGTACGTAAGCCGAACTCTCACGCGACTCCTAGCAGAGGCTGGCTTATACGAGGCGACCCTTGCTCTGGCGGTCGACGATCGCGGCTTGCGCAAAAGGTAGGATTGGCCGCTGTTCATACAACACTTGCCTGATAAATGTCGCGTCTGCATGGGCACGCAGCTGCCCGCTGTCACGCCCGATACGCTTTACGCGACTGAATCACGCAACTGGGCGAACGACCTTGGTGCCACAACTCGCAAGGGTGAGCGCTTACACGCAGTGCCTCTCTTCCGCGATCCCCAGTGCGAGCTCCCGTGTCGGCCCTTTGTGTGCTCCGAGGGGCACGGTTACGTAACGGCGACTATCGGCTATTCGAGTCACGTGCAGAGAGAATCTTGGCGGCTAAAAGTCATGCTGCAATGTGTCTGTGATCATTTTGTGTGAAGATAACACGATAAGCTGCGCTCTTCAATGTGGCACCAGTGATGTGCCCTGTTGGTATTTCTTCTTATTTTTTTTTCTTTTCCTTTCTTTTTACTGCGTGTATTTATTTATTTCTTTATTTATCTCGTGCTCCGTAGCGCTGCGAGTAGCGTTTATGTCGCAACTCTGGGACATAACATTGTAAAGAGCCTTAAAGTTATCTGGGGCTAGCGATTGTGAATTATCGGCAACACCTCAAATTAGTCCCGTTCGTTTTGCAATAGGACCGCACTCATATGACCGCGAGTGGGAAATTATTAAAAAAATGCGGCACACGTTTTTTTTTATGGCTTTCTGTTTACGACGCTATACCTCTCATTCGCCGGTGTCTATCGCCGTCCCTTTACCGTTTGCTCATTTATGCGCTCGAATCGCTGCTGGAGTACTTTGTTCTTCTTTCTTCGTCTTGTCGCGGTTCATTTTATTTTGTGTACGTTGAATGCGTAGGTATTATTTTAATTTAATGCTGAATGCAGTAGGACATTTGTGTTTTTCTTTAGGTCATGTGGATCACATGTTTTACCACTTCAGTAAGCTTCGGCAAGCTGCTGTGGGTTAATTCGGATTGAGTGGGCAGAAATGTGAACATCCTAAGCTACTTAAGATGGACGGTGCCACAAACCTGTGTGAGCGTATTTGCGAAATGCCGTTGCTCTCACACGGGCGACTTCAAGGCTGCATAGTCTCGAGTTACGTCGAAACATCCCAATGTCAATACCTGATTTTGCAACTATGTACATATGTATAAACATAGTTTTGTTATTTGAAAAGAAAGCGCTGGTATTTGGGCAGAGGCAACAACAACCACGAGGCACTTTGAATACCTTCCGCTCCCTTCTACGCTCACCGCTGCTACGCCAGCTGGGAAAGACTTCTAATTTAGAGGAAAAAAGGGCTTGTTGACTGCTGGTCTCATATGACAGTCTTGTCTTGTCTTGTCGCTTAGGAGATTTTGGCTCATACCCACATGGGGGATTGGCCACACTGCCGTTGAGTGAGGCTGAAGCATTTAGTGAACATCATCTTCTCTAGAGAATCATAGCAACTACTAGTCATGGAGACTCTAAAGGGCACTCTTAAAGAGTACCTGCGTCGTCATAAATTAAACACGCGTTTCATACGTTTTACTGGCACTGTTGAATGCAGTGATATCGTGCGAGAAATTGAATGTTTTGTCGAGCTTGGAATATGCTCAAAGGTGAGTGGGCGGATTGACATGGAAACCCATCCACGAGCCAGAAATCAGGCATTTTAAAATTTTTTTCGCCGGTTAGAGAAGAGCAGAGTGACAATGTTTTTTAAGGTTTAAAATAAGGATAAAAGGAAGCTATAGGGCACAAAATATTCACCTAAAAACTATATGTTGCATATAGAGGGGAACATCGTAACAAGTTATCATAAGAAGAGACTACAAATTGGTTTCCAAGCAAAGAAACAAATACATGGAGAAATTCATTAAGCCGGTAAAAAAAGAAATGAGAAAAAAACAAGCTGTACGGAAATACAAGAGGTTGCGCATTTGTATATGGTAATACGTTGGGCTGCTTTGTTTCAGCTAAACTTCATGTGCGCTAACGCAAAGAAATCTCCAATGGATAGTCCAAGCTAACGTTCGTGTCCTCCTGTTTGCTAGTACACATTAACCTTAACGCAACACTCGCGGGCTTCAGAAACGTTTTTTTTTATTTCACAAGAGAAGGTTGCGTGTGTCTGCTGCGAGAAAAATTGAAAAACTACTAAACTATTCTGATAAAATTTCAGGATATTCGAGCATGAATACCCTAGGAATCTGTGGGTTTCAAAGTGAATGGAAGTACCATAAGGCATTCGTTGATGCAAGCAATAAATGCTCACAATAATGGTTAGAAAGAGCACGCACGGCGTTAAATAACGCCGTGCGTGCTTGTAGGCCTGGATAAAAATACCGCACCAAAACTTACGCTCACGTTAAAAAAAAGGAGATAACCACTGGGGGTTAGACTGGGACCGATGGAGCAATATATAATTGTTGTTGGCCACATAGTTTTAAGTACGATGTTTAAAAATGCCACCACCACCACCATAATTACTGCCTTCGAGCCATTGTTTTGTATGGCTGTCTGTTGTTTCTTACGATAATACTTCTCCAACAAGCTTACCTTTCCGTCGTCCCTGTAATGCCCTAGACAGAAGGGGAGTTTTTCACCACGGTTCGGGTGAAATATGATCAAACTCCTCAAGCGGAGTCAGTTACATCAAACAGCTCGCAAGGACAGAGACAGCTGTACGGAGTGTTCATTGAATCACTCACTCCCACGCGATGCAAGACATTGCTGCACGAAAATGGCATCAAAAGGCCTGTTTTGTCGATTATCGTCTAATTTGAATAACGTGTTAATACTGCAAGCACGTGACGGGCTGAATTTCTTTGGTCGAAAGTGAAGGTGCATGGTCGAATAGGAGCGGCTTCCGAGGTAGACTGACCTAGCCGGGGCGCCCACCCAGCAGAAGCGTCTTGTGTGTCACGCGGCGCTCTTCTCCCGCCGTTGCGGGCTAAAAACGACTGCTTGAAATACATCCTGCCGATTTCGAATATCAGTTA